ATTATTGTTTTGTTATTTTAACTTTTTTTTAATTTGGACATAATTTTGACCGAAATCTTTTATTGAAAGCGAAAATATATTCTATCTGTGCATCCTCTCCTCCGTCGATTAAAGGTAGGCAACGCATATGCAATTGCGTATGTCTATGGGCAACGGTCAATTCGCTATTTCAGCGATTTCAGGTGGCCGCTCGCTCGTTTGCCACCTTATGGTATAAAAAAACTAGACTGTTAGTCTAACCTAGATATGATAGCACGATTAATATGTTAGGTCTACTTTGTTGATATCAATTGATATCGCGAGAAATAAACAATGCTTATCGCGAGGTTAAGGAAAACTTGTTGGAACTTAACACATTCACTACTTATAACAAAATAAATGGTAACATTTGGGGGCAAGGTTCGTGAGACATATTTATTTTGTTAACATAATTAAGTTAAATTCACGCAACACCACAAAATTGGTGACGTGACTTTTCTTCGAAAGTTAATTAAGGTTAATTTTATTCGAAATATTTTTTTTGACATATAGTTTTAAATACAGTTAGAAAAAAAGTAATATTGTCACGTGAGACGTATTTGAACCAGTCAATCAACTCTCTATGGATCGAGACGGTTTTTTTATAATGTAACGTAAGCCGTGTCTATGATTAGTGATGCAAGGAAATAAATGGCAATAAAAACAAGGTTCCTTTGAAGAAATCCGGCAAACCAGTCAAATGAACTACATGTTCTATAGTATACTCTGACATATACGTTCTAAGAGAGCAAATATAGGAAGGAGGTTGAGTTCGGATTTATGTGAACATATTTTGTTTTTTTGAAGTATTATAATAACAGAGTCAACGTACTCTATCATTATATTCATTATATTCGTAAGTTTAGTATTAATATATGTTTAACATTTATTTTTATTGATTTCATTTAATCGGGTGTGGCCAGTAAGTCTCGTTTAACGAGCCTGTGCCCACTCAGAGATATTTAATCGATATGGCATATACACTAAACTCAGTAGTCGACTTACATGGATAACGATTGCATTTCACAACAATTCTAACGCGACTTGAAGTTTTTCCTTTGCACAAAAAACATTCAGTAATGTTATTTGTGCTCCTTAAGCAAAGATTAACAGTTTTGAAATGCTTTACAATTTACTTTAAATGGTAATTTCTTATCCTTTTCGGTAATACGACTTGTATAACCTAAAAATATATTTGTGGCAAAAAAAATCGATACTGTTTATTAGATTACAAATATTAAAAGAACGTGAAGTATTTCTAGTATTTCAGTTTTAATTTAATCTCATTTAGAAGAATTCAGCCTGCATGTAAGCTTCCCACACAAAAATGTTATTTAGAAGTTAGAAATACTATGAGATTTAACAAACAATTTTTTTTATTAAAAAGGCGAAGACCTAAGATTCTTATTGTTATTTAAAGGTCCGGCTCTCATCATCGAGAGAGGCTTAAATTGTTTTTTCTATAGGCGATGATTACAAATCTTTGCTATTCTTTGTGAGTATAAAATTTGCAATGTTTTTTTCATGTATCTGGCGTTATTCGCGGCGTTTCACAAAACTTATGCAATTTATAATTTCACCAGACATTGAACTCCGGTTGTTAGCTGTGTAACTGGAAGCCGGCGCTCGGACATCGAGCTGCCGCGACTCGATACGATCTCTCTTATTTTATTAGCAAATATTTTTAATCATAATAAAGTTTACGTTGTTATAAAATTATCATGTAAAGCCTGTAAAATTACGTATAGCATCGTAATTTTATAACGTATAGTTATTTCATATTTAGTTCTTCAGTTAATTCAACTCTACATAGTCTTGTTGAAGATTGATAAAAATTATATCGAATAAACGTTAAATTCAAAAGGTAGACATTACTTTGAATCTAGTCTTCCTTTTTACATGACGTTTAGATTTGAAGATGCCTAAATCTACAATATTCTTTTAAGTAAAAACATTAAGTTTAAAAAATTACAAACAAAAAGCTGCAAGTTTTGCTAATAATATAATTATAAAATGTAAATAAAAAAGATGCTCTACATCCGAGTTAGTGAGTGTATAATTAAGTAAAACAATAAATCTGTACTGGACGTCGGCCAACAAAGAACTTGTGAAATGGGAACGCAACAATTACAACCTTGCGGTTTACACGAGACCTAATCAACTAGACGAGACGAGTATAAGTTATGGTTTATTTTGATATGTTTTTACTATATAATTTAAGTTTGACTTTAACGTTGCTAAGCAATTTAGGTGGGTGATTACAACAGTGTATATTTCCTTAGAATCAACATACCAACAACAGATGCGTAAGAAGTGGGTTGTAAATTCAGATCACTCCTGATAGAGGTGTATGGAGGAGTAGTACGTACTGTGCCCACCCTCCGTATGGATAAGGGCAGGTTGATGATGAATATTTTGTAAATTTAAGTTTAATCGTGTCAAGTTGTAAGCAATTACATATCGTATTCACATTGTATAAATCTAATCTGTGCTGTGTGAATTCGTATGAACTAATTAATTTACTTTTGATTATTTCTAATATAGTAGTAGAAAAGGTTATTTAAAACCTGTTTTTATGTTGAAATAAAAAAGTGTATATTTATGTTATTTAAAAATATTTAGATTTGATTTGTTACGCAATGTCGACCCACTTTTGAGCAGCAATCGTTTTCTAAAAGTTTTTTTTTCGAAAATGCCACATGTTACCTAATCATTTCAAATTCAAATTTTGATTCGGTTTTGATTATGTTGTAATATGAAACTAAAGGTTGAAAAGGTTACAATTTCAAAAGCACTATTAGAAACTACGAGAATGACAATTCTTTGTTGTTTTTATTTTGGTTTGTTTCCCTTCAATTATCAATCAAATTACTAAAGTATTAACTTTAGTAATTTTATAAAATTTAGACATTTTTCTGACTATATTTTGATATGAGAGATGTGCGTAAGGAAAATTAGTAACTCTGGTTTACGGGTGGCAGTGCCTATTTATTTTGACGCATATCGTATCTGTCTTAACGGAATTTGATCCAGTTTTATGCGGTCCTCATTTGCAATTCACACTTGTTAACGTAGTAAACTCTAGACAGTTGATTTTAGGCTTTGATCAAACTATTACAGAGTTAAAATTAAACATATATATGATAGATGTAAGACGGAACAACGGATCTTGTTGTCATAGAAACTAGTCTTAATTTCTTTCATGCTACTAATTAAGTTTTTTTTTTTAATTTCGCGCGGACGAAGTCGCAGGTTAATCCATCAATAGCAATAAATTATGTCGCAATAAATAAATTTAAATTAAAGTATAAAAAGTGATTCATTAAAAATGTTTTTTAAGATTACAAAAAGGTTATTTTGACGCATATTTATAATCGGTCGTTTACAATTAAAAGTATTGTAGGAAAATACAAAGGGGAAACGGTTTTATCTTTTATCAAAGGAATAAAAAATAGTAATTAATATTTATAATCGCCTTCAAGATAACAATTAGATGATACCGTTCCAACAACCTTCGTGCGATGACCTCTCATCAAGAGCACTTTGTTTGTGTTCTTTAAGGAAGAATACAGGCTTCATATTTTGAAGATAAAAAAATAGCGATGTCTTGAGAAAAAAAATTATAAAACGACAAGAACAACACAACTCACGCTCGTAAATCAGAGACAATAATAATTAAAAATTAAAGACATTTTGCTTAATAACGTAAATAGTGTAATGTTTGAATGTATTTTAGTATTGTGATATAAATGTTGGAAACATAAATAACTATGCAGTAAATAATTTAAATTTATGAATGAAAAATAACGTAAAAAATTGTAAAATAAAATAAAAAAATTCTTGCACTGTAATAAAATTAGGAATGAATAATAAATAATTGCGTCATAATTTTAAAAATGTTTCTATTACTTTAAATATATGCACTAAATTATATTGTCTGGATGGCCTCTACACATAGCTGACACAAATAGTAGTAACTTTACGTCTAGATAATTTAGTGCTTTGGATATTTTTGATATAAGAATTGTTTGACTTGACCTGGTATGACTAACATGTTTATGACAATTATTTATATAAGTTTAAAAAATACTTTGATTCAATGGAATGGAGATTTAATTGTTATTTATTCTTTTTACAAATTTATTCAGTTTAAAAATCGAGTATACACTTAATATTATGTATATGAAAAGATCAATAAATATCTTATGTGGATACAATGTGGCAATGTATGACGCGACGCTATGTAATAAAAATGTAATAAACTCGCTATTTATATGGTAAACACATGTTAAATTCTTATTGATAAAATGATTATTAAATAATTTATTCGTTTTTTTGTTTGTTTATGTAATGTTTATTGCTTGTGATATGAATAAATAATAAATTAATATTTTACATAATTAATTGTAATTAATGTTATAGCTATACAATTAAAGATTTCTAATAATGATGAGTTTTAAAATATTTTTTTATAAAAAATGTCATATTTTATGATGGAGCACAGCCTGACTTCATGCTGCTTTGTATCAATCTCAGAAATTTAAAAACAATATATGAACAAATATATTATTTGTATTCAAAGAAAGAAATGTGTTTACCTTTCTTCCGTTTGGGCATAATTCTGACACCAAAGGCATGTTCAGTCACTAGGCACAAGGACAGAGCCAGTAAACAGTATCTCGCACTGCACCCCATGTTGTCACACAATGTTCGCTGGCAGTAGTACGAGTAGGTCGCTATGAAGGCACTGGGGTACCGCGCATTGGTTCGGCGACGCGAATATACGGGACGCGGTTAATCCGGGCTCGCGTGCGCTGGCGCAGTTTGCGCACTAACTGCGGTATACTACGACGGCCGTGCACGCTCGGCGAGTACGCGACCAACGACTGAACCGCCCGACTACCCTATATTTTGACTTATAGCAATTTGGCAGTGCGAATTCCACTCGTATATAAAACCTTTCGCCGGCTCGAGGCGGGCGGTCATTGGTCGCGGCTGCGCGGCCGGCGCGAAGGTGAAGGGAGCTGGAAGTGGCGCCCCCACCACCTCCTGCGGAGGGGGGGGCCAGGGTCGGCAGACACTTTTGCTATCGACGGCCCGCGCGGGCGCTGCCGTGCTCCTTATGCTGCGCCGTAATGTGATTGCGTCACGCACTCCACGCTGCGTGTAATTGCTTACTCTTAATTGATTTAATAAATTATTTCACTTTGTAACAATTTCACTGGCAACGGACGATCTAGATAGAGCATAAACACTTTCTATTCGCTACGAATTTGAGTCGATTAGTTATACATGCGCCTATAATTCATTTATTGCGTCGTGATTTAATAATAAAAAATACTCGTGTCCCACAGCAGTTTAAATTTTGTATTACATATTCAGCCGGACAACACTTGATTCATCATTACTTCAAATTCAAACCACCAGAAATTAATAAACATCTCTAACACTACATTAAGGGCAGGTTCCAAAACATATATTACCACACAGAAATACTAATAAATCAGGCTGATACATCAGCTCTTAAAGGTTTGGGTAACGAGTTGTAACAACAAAGGACTACGGCGCCATAAAGAAGTCAATAACCGAAAAAAATTGAATAAAAGGTCCATATGAGGTCATTGACTCTAAACCCTGGTAATACTTATAAACCTATTTAATTTAATCTGGTTTTGTATATTGGCATTAAATTAAAATTTCACTCTCATTATCTGATAATATTTACAGAATTGTTTAGATATAGTTATGATAGATAAAGAACCTCATTAATAACAAACAAAAAAACATAAAAAAATTATGTATGATAATAAGAGTATTCTGAATGTTATTTTTTACACATGCTTAAATCTCTCGAAATCTACAGTTTTTCAAAACTGACACTGACTCATGAGATTAATGTTTTTCCCGTGTACATTTATATGTTTTTACCCAAATGACAAAGGGGATACGAATTACGCGGGTATGTTTTAGACATGTGGGTTAGTATATATGCAAATTACGTTAAGATCCTATATAATGATTAAGTAATCTTTTATAATTTCTACTTTCATATGAAAACTGTTTCATTTATTGCGAGAAAGTGCGTTATATTAAGTGACTATCTGCTAAGTCATCATGAAGTCGAAATACTTTTTATGCCATTTACGCATTACGCGTATGGTTTCGCATGATTAAACAAAATTATGAAGGCGTGTTGATGGAAAATTTCCATCTTTATAAGTTAGAACTTGATTGACGTATAATTTAACTACTTTATTAAAAGTTAAAGCGTTTAAATAATGAAAAAATAAAAGGTATAAAACAGTTGAATGAAATAGAGTTGAGTTCCCCAAAAACAAACTTTGTTACTGGACGTCGTGTTGCCTTTTGGAATTGTCAATCAACGCAGTTCCGAAGCCTATACGATTTAACGTAAAACGTTATTTAAAGACGGGAAACGTAAGCTCTAAAATTATAGTTCATCGGTGGTGTTCACATAGCGACTCATTCTTTGAACAGTGGACCTATCACGAAAATTTGTGACAATTGTATCGTCAGCAATAAAATTTGTGTAGCGTATCGAGCGTAATGTATACACCAAAAATCTCATACTAATATTGACATAATTGATGATGACAATCCGAGTTCCCCTCTCGTGCCCTTAAGTCCAGTCACTCCTGGGAGCGTCCAACGAAGCGATAAAGACCTTGATGGCCTCCCAACCCTGTAATAATAAAAAAGTAACAACTCGAGCCCAGGCGCCAGCGGGAGCCCTCGAGCCTAGTTACTCTTAAACGACGTTTGTGCTAATAACCATCTGTGCTCGGCGACGTCAAGCCCAGTGAAGTTTATGAAAAATGTTAAGTTATCACTTTAAAGTATTGGAGCAATACTTTAGAATTCATAATTGAAAGGATTGTTAGGTATAAGTTGTTTACTGGTTTCTTGTTATTGTAACTTAGTAATGTTATTAATAATCTATATCGATATGAAATTATAGATAGCTTTCTTCTTATCTCTAGTATTATTGACATAATTGTTTTGTTTTGTTTCTCGGCTATTGAAATGGTTCTATTTCCACACTTCCGGCTCCTTCAATTAATCTATTCAGGCTATTGTTTAAGTGAGTGTTTACTTTATACTTTTGAGTATTTTAAACAAGTTGTTATAGTAACATTGGGCTAAAAACAAGCGGTCCAATACTGATAAAATAACGAAGTGACCGTTTCCCGTGACGTTCAATTAGTTTAATCGTCAAACAATGTTACAATCTTGATAAAACTGGTTATAAATAATGTGTGATTTTATTTTTGTTATCGAGTCTTTGACTTTACTAATCTTTGTTCTGGAACAAAAGAAAATTTATTTTGTTCTATGCGAATCAATGGCCAGTTGTTAATGTGGGTTTCGACTGCCGAACGCCTCTTCAGGCTAACTGCCACCTGCGCTCGGCCACCTCAAGCCAAACAGTGACTACTCAGTCACAAAAAAAAAAATGATTTTCTATTCAATGATTATGAGTGGGATGGCAACTTATTTCTACTAGAAATTACGGCAGTGGAAACTGACGGTTTTATTTCTTCTTTGTTAACAGTAAATTGTAAGTTAAAGAAAACACTACATTTAGTTTATAAACACGCAGAACATTAAACTTAAAAAAAAAAACACATGTTTCTTTGAACTTTTAACAATTGCAAAAGAAATGACATTGACCTCAATGAATTGTTATGTGTAATTCGATAAAAATATTTGTTTAAATATTTATTAATTGAATGCATTACAAAAGTGTGTGAACATAACTAAATACATAAAGAACAATAGACAAATATTCAAACCTTACCATTGACAGTCACAGAATGTGATAATTGACTCAGGTTAAAAACACTTTAATTTTTTGTTAACAAAACAAATTCTTATAATATTATAATCAGAGATATAATTGTGTTAATTAATCAAATATGAGAGTAATACACACACAGATGATAGAAAACATTGATACGTGTTTAACGAAAATGTGAACAATTAAAAGTTGGTTTCTAAGATCAATGTCTCTGTATAAAACATTATAATATTCATCCGTGTCACAAACTTTGACAAAACACAGATAACATTATGTTTTAAGTGGGGATTTTCTGTTTAAAGATCTTTATTTACTTATAAAACTCAAAGTTTCGCTTACAATGAGTATAAATGTAAAATATAAGATAAGGGCTTGCGGGCTAATACAAAATATAGTAACATTATATAAGATTAATATAAATCAAAAACAGACCTTAGTACTTACAACTATAAATTAAATTGAACAGAAATGATATCTATATATAATATTGAGAATAGATTATGACATTACAGCGATGAGATATGATTTAAGTTTGTTTTTAAAAAAAAAATTGGGCTCAGAAACCCACGGTGATTCTAATATTTTTAACTTGAGATTAAAGTATAGAAGGAATAAGAAGTTTGTAACACAGATATAAATAGTTGCATGTTAAAATAAACCATGCCTTTGCCGGTGAGATAAAGCGGTTGTTGAGATTTAGCGATCATGAAAATCAAAAGTTTCGTGACGACTGGATCTGCCCATTCCTCCCAGGGTGTGCTGTAGATATCGGAACTTAAGTCTTCACCGGCCTGGAAAAACAAGAGTTATTTTTATACGTTTATTTATAAAATTTAACGGAGACATCTGAATATCTGATGATTTCGCTTTCCTCTAATACTGAACAAATCTACGAAAATGAAAAAAGGATTATTAATATTAAGTATAATTTAATAGTTTTACTTTTATTTGTTAGTTTTAATTACGATGAAATTCATTTTTATCAAAATACAGGTATAGACAGATTGAATAGTAAAAAAGCACCTCCGTTTAGACGTGGTCCAACAATGTCGTGGGTATATAAAGCTCAGCTAGACCAAAAAGCAACAAACTAAATGTGAGCACGTACCTTGGATAAATTACTTGCAAAATAACACGGAGTATACATGTGAACAACTCCACTTATAACAAAAAGTGTGTATTTGGGATCGATTACTTCACTAATGTTATTCTGATACAAGTTTAAAGATATAACTATTGAAGTAACGAGAAATACGACCAGTAACCAGCCCCCATACATGTTCTCCAAAATGTTGTAAAAGCGGAGCGCTTCCTGATGATCTCTTATTACTTCTTTCACTTTTTCTTCAAGTTGTAACTTATTTTTGGAGTCTTTAAATGCTCTGTGCAACTTATGAGTCATCAATTTAATTTTAAGTTGCAAATGAGTCGTCGCGATACAAAATGATCCATCGAAACCCGTGAAGTTAGGAACGAGGATCACGCACTGCATTAAAATTATCGCAAATAATATTTCAAAATATGGCGTTTCGTATTGCTTGTCTTCTATATATTTTAATTCCATTTCATGGACCATGTATCGGTTACCCATGTCACTTTTTAAGTTCTCGTATATCATGCAGGCACCTGCAAACATCGGGAACTGAGAACTTAAAACTACAGGAATTATAACCCAGCAATTCTGACCAAGTTTTCCCAGTTTAATATGGCGCTCGTATATTTTTTGATAGTCTTCTTCCATATCGTTACCTTGGATGAGATCTTCGGTTATTTTTTCCAATAGTTCACAGAAACTATCGTTTTTATTACTAATATAAAAGTATTTAAAGAAAAAAAGACTGATCGGTACGCCAACAGTTATATTCCTTGCGAGATTGAACTTATCTGATGTGATGATGCACTTGTATAAGTATAATAAATACCAAATAATTATTATACTGTTATATGCGACGATGAAAGTAAAAATTATAGCCCGAGCTCGCATGTTTGTTTTATTGGGATATATTAGGCCTACAGCTAAAGCGAAAGCGCATATGGGAAACGTTTCTTTAAACGATTTAAATTTCGGCTCATTTCCATTATTCTGATTTGATATTTTATTTTCTATGTTCATTATAAATCTCGTAAATACGTCAGCTTTAATACGTAGGGTGGTGCGAATGTGCGATGTTGTGAGGATGATAATATCAGTACTTTACTACAATTTTCAATCCAATTATTTTATAACGTTGGAGGTAATATTACTGCTGTTGTGACCCAACATTTTATATAATGGCTGTAATACTTTTATACATTAGGGTTCGGTAATAATTTTAACACGTTCCATGCCACTTATGCCGTCTTAAGCGACACTCGCAAAACAAGTAGACGGCTCTGAATGGGTTAATAAAAATAATAAACATAGGTTTTTAACGCTGCAGATTTTTTTCGAGCGACTAGCATCGATGGTTCTGACATTTATTATTTTATTTTGACTATAGGATCTGTCAAAATATCGTTTTTTATACTTGATATAGCCCACATACAACAAACAACAAATTTATTCAATGAGTTACCAAAGTTGGAGAAAAGGTTAAAGAATGAAACGAAGCTGCATGAATCAAATTTCACTCTTACATTAAATATTTTGCATATCCATACGAGGCATAAATAGGTGAGCCTAGTCATTGTATTTAATAAAACATGGAAGCTAGCCTTTAACGGCTACACATTCTAAATAAAAATGATAAAGGTTGACATAGTTTAATTACTTACCAAAAATGTTATCATCTTAAGTAAATTACCAAAAGAGAACGTAGTTTTTGTAACGAAACTATTTTGTTTTTAAGATAGTTACGAAATAGTTTCTGCAACAACTGTTTACCCAAATTTGAAGATGGTTAAAATCTGCTTTATGTTGTTGTTACAATTTTTAACATATTGCAAAATAATCATTACATTTGTAGACGTAATATTGGTAAAGGTGCGCCACGACACTTACGGCAAAAAAAAATTGTATTCGTCATCAGAGGGTTTAGCATGAAAATTTGCGAGAAAGTATTCGTATAGACACCAACAAAATTTATAAGAGACTAGCTGTTGCCTGCGACTCCGTTCGCGCGGATTTCAAAACAAACTTAATAAGTAGACCATGTGTTCATCCAGACCATGTTCTACATCTATGACAAATTTTAGCGAGATCCATGCAATCTAAACATTCGCATTTATAATATTAGTTAGATTTCTGCAGCCTATCGGGCGGAAACTAAACCGACAAATCTCAAATTTTGTGGATGTCGATATTCATTCTTGCAAATTTTAGTGCCACCAGATCTTAGAATTCGCTTAATGTTTTGTCCAACCATTTCATGAAATTATTAAAATACTCTAGATCAACTTTTACTATTTCTACTACATGCTAAATACACATATTATTGTTATTGTTTGCAACATGTATATGACAATGAAAGGTACTCGTATTATTCGTACAATTTTGTACAAAGGGACGTTTGTAAAGCCCTAGAAGAGGGTCAAGTGCGATCGTGTAAAATAAAGATAAGTAATTTAATAAAACAACACTCGTTAACCTTTTCAAGTTAATTAGACGGTCTGCAAAGATTATGATATTCTCACAGCCTTTCGTGTTATCAAAGCGTATGTAAAGTTTTTATTATTTCACAAAACTGGAAGAAGAGGCCGTGGTTTTTTAACAAAATGCTTTACCGGCTTTCTATTGTTATTTTGTTAAAGTATTTCGAACAATAGTATAAATGTTGGCGATGTTTGGCCACGATAAACTCGTTTTCATTATAAAAATGTAATAAGCAATATTGTGGTTTCATTTACATAGTAATTACATCCACGAGGTAAATTATCTCCGCTTCAATTAGATTTAACAAAGCGAGTCACAGGACTTGATTCTTTTCGTGCGTCGCATTTTTGACATGTTGTGGGAGCTTATAAATATACAGATGTATATTTTAATTAAGTTAATTTTTAAATCCACGAACATTTGATGAACTTGTACTTTAGCTGGACTAATGTCGTTTAAATACTAAGTTAGTTATGGTTAGTCTCTTTTTTAAATGCCCTTTTGAAACTTAATAATAGCTTTATAGCTTTAACAAACTTTTTAATCGTAATTATAATTTTTTTTCAAGTAGAATGAGACAGATGACTATATGTTTTTGTACATGATTTTCAGCAGTGGAAACCTACTATTAGTTTTTATTATTGTTCACGTTTTTCTCACTACATTTAATTATACCTAAATACCTTTCATCTATTATTATTATTAATCTAAAATTAAATCAATTTAACAATAGTCACAATAGATTAGTAATTTCGTGTTCCGCCTGCAGATCCGGAGCACGGAATTACATTATTGAAATATCGTCCACTAAGACTCAGCGAGTCTATAAAAATTCTTATGGTTGAAAAGAGTCTGAAGAACTGTGTTACAGGAATTTTTTAAATCTTCTTCTCCTGTTTGCACTTAAAATTATGTCATACGTTGTTAGTACTATAAAAAATATAAGTACTAAAAATATAATGATATTTTTTTGGAGAAAATTTTATAATATTACATTTCCAAATTACTTTCACGATATTAAAGTTTTTTTTTAACATAATCATTATTATTTTAATGACACAAGGAAGTGGGAAAATATATAAATAACTTTAATAAGACCTTAGGTATACCCGGATGTAAACCTTTTTTTATTTACTTTTATATAATTTTCAGTGCTACGTAATCAATGTGGCTTTGAAACATATTTACAAGGTTAACGTTCTCAATCTCTTTGAACTATGATAATGTACAGTCAGCAACATAAATACTTATACATTTACAAAATATTATAACCTAGTACAGGCCTTCAAAAAATATGTATGCGAGAATACGTCAATAACGTGGTCAGAAATATATAGACGGACACGTGTATACATTTTTTTTAAATTTTATTATACAAGTTTTTGAACTTTATTAAAAAATTTATATAAATATATGCAGCTGACTGTACATGCAAACAGTAATTCATTAAATATTGTGTTTACAGACCAGATTATAAAATAATTGAGAAAAACACTTTAAATGGTAAAATAATAAATGTAAAACTTATGCATCTTAAATGTTAAATTTATAACAAATGAAAATTAAAAAAAAAAACATATTAAAAATGAATATAACAATATTTTACACACAAAATATTACGAGCGAGTGCGGGGAGTAGGTCGAAATGAAATAAGTAGTGTTTTGTAGCATAATTTTTCGATGTTGATTTTCATTTTTATTATTTCACAGTTACGACTTAGGCGCCTTCAAGACAAGAGCGTACACCTTAAATGCCGGCAACGCATCTGCGGTTCTAGCGTTGCAGATGTCCATGGGCGTCGGATCAAATAACATTAGGCGATTTGTTGGTGGTTTGCCCCCTTCTCTTAAAAAAAAAATATATGACCAATATTGACAATACACACGATTTTTTTCTGGTAATTAAAAAAATATTCTGTACACTCTATTACAGCTAGCAAGCAGGATACTGGAATAGTTGAGTGTTCTAAGAAAGTTGAATAAGTCAGAAAATATGATGAATAAAAATACCATAAGAACTTTTACAATGATGGCATTGAAAATTAATGTATAATGAATTATTGAAATGTCATAAATACCGACATTAACTTTGGAGAAAAATGTATGTCGAGGAAGTTGTCATAACGATTTTGAAATTGACTTAAACAAGTTTGATAATGGAAATTTTTCGATTAGAATGTTACGTTTCGAGGCTAAAGGAAAATCGTTCATGGTTACATTTACCTAATAACGTGTGGGCGTTTCCGATTGTTGAACCGTAGTTAATGGCAATTAATGTCATGTTCGTTGGTGGTAGGCTGACAAGATTATCTGACCCCGTAGGCATAAGTGAAACAAATTACAATAGCGCATTAGTTCTATCAATGACAAGAAATGTGACAAGATTGTCGTCTTGTTATGTTTTATTTTGAGCTATTTTCTGTGCCTAATTTTTTTTTTTCATACCAGTCTAATCGTGATAACAGTTTCACTTTGCTACTTAACTTGGTCGCAGTATAGATATTTTAACCATTACCTGGATTTCAGTGGTGACCGGTACACGCGGTATGTCCAACGTCCACCGCGGTACCGCCTCGAGTAGCTATTACATTTTCAAGGTAAATATCTCAGTATTTGATCTCACGCTGTAGATAGGCCGCGGATCTGTTAATCGTTTCCATTGTCATGCATGTCATTTTATGTATTTTTTTTACTCAAATATTATTTAGGTACTTGGGTAATATTTTCCTTAAAGTAGTTAATTTCAATAAGTTAGGTGAAATGTATTTTCAGAAAACAACTTTTTTTTGTAAATTTTAATATTTGAAAACAAGAACAAGTAAGCTATGTTTGCTTGGTAAATGGTTGTCCTCGAAATTCTTATCCATGCATACACGTAGTTACTTTTTGTGTATTAGATCAACGATTCGATGTAATAATTAACGATTAAAAATTGTAACACAGAACCACAAGAGTGACCGATAGTTGATGTTACCGTGTCGAGTTGTGTGGCTCTGATTGGCGGTTGCATTATCAAAGCGTCAAAGAAAAACCAGCTCAAGATTATTCTAAGCACAGATAAATGACTTCTATCGAAATAACTAATATCTAACAAAATTACACTACATTCCTAAAATGTTAAAGTTTTCACAAGATTATGTTTAAAAATTAAAATGCCGTATCGTATGAACATGGACACTTCTCACTATCGCCGCAAAGCGTAATGCCGTGCTCTTAATTTGGGTAAGGTTACCGGCTCAATCGTACAACAATTTGCCGAAGCCGGTGTCGGCGCATTGCGTGTCGTGAAACAATGGGCCCGGACAAAGGCCACGCCGTTGGCGTTTGCTACTCTACACTATTACAATTAAAGCCAACTCAATGAAATTACATTGGTAATTTTTACAAGATTTAGATTTTTAAAGTAACTTCCG